CAGTGGGCAGTGAAACTTTTGCCCCATCCACCAGCTCCAGTCCTGTACCTGCATGGATGGAGGCCTGGGAGCCCTGGTGTACCCTGGGGGTTTGCAAGAGAGCATCCATGTGAGAACAGAAGTGAATTGAGGAACTGGGATGATTTTGCTGAAGGGCAAAGACTAGAGCACCAAGAGGAGTGGACCCTGCAGGCTTCCCACCTGCCTGGAACAGCAGGCTCAAGCATGAGCTTTATAAAAAGAGCAGCACCTGTGCAAAAAGGCTAAGCTTGGTGTCCTAACGGTGCTTCATCCTGGAATTAAACCCAAGGCATTTGGGAGCATTTGCCTTTTTGGTGGGGAGTCCAAAGGAGACACGCACCGGCTGTCCATGTGTCCTGCACCCACTGGTCCATAGATACTTTGTGCAGCTGACATTGCCAGGGTGGGGAGGTATCTTTAGTCCAGTGCCTCCTGCAAGAAGGGGTGCTGTGAGAATTGCAACCAGCATCACCTGCTTCACCTCTCACCCCCAGCCCTGGCAGGGCTGCCCATGGGTATCCTTGCTGCCCATGCAGAGAAGTGCTCTGTCTCTCCTGACCAGTGGGGCAGGAGCTCTCTCCGGGGCCACTTATAAAATCATAGAATCATAGAATAGTTAGGGTTGGAAAGGACCTTAGGATCATCAAGTTCCAACCCCCCTGCCATGGGCAGGGACACCTCACACTAAACCATATCTCCCAAGGCCTCGTCCAACCTGGTCTTGAACACTGCCAGGGATGCAGCATTCACAACCTCCCTGGGCAACCTATTCCAGTGCCTCACCACCCTAACAGGAAAGAATTTCTTCTCTGCTTTGGTCTTCTACCAGCCATGCACTGTGGTTCCACTTTCTCATCCCCTCTGTGGCCCTGCCACTGGGCTGTGGTGCTTCATCCCAGCTGAGCTATTCGGGGTGCCTTCAGTTCCTGGTGCTACGATAGCAATGTTTTTACCTTGACTGCTAATACATGTTCTTCCTCCCACTCTGCAAGTGCTATCTTGCCAGCAGTCCAAAGAGAGAGCTAGGAACCTCCTCTTCCACCCAAGAACATTTCTTTCTTAGCAACCTCTTCTGCCATCACGGCTCATGTAGCCAAGCCCTGACTCCTTCCTCAGAAATGAGGGTGCTCCAGGCACGATGGAGGAGGTGGCACATATCCTCCTAAGGGCGAGCTGCCCTTTGCCAGCAATTGGTGTAGGACCTCATACTTGAGGGTATTTCTGTTTGTTCTCCAGTTTCAAACAGGTTTTTTAGTAACACCGAAATTCGGCTCCACTTCCGACCTTGCAGGGTCCTCTCAGATCGCAGCCAAAGGTTGAACAGCACCATCTAGCGCGCTTCCTCCCGAAACTGCCCAGGCCGGAGGGACGCCGGCTCTCACCCTGGCACAGCTCTGCCGCTAGAAGGGTATGCTGGATGCTAACAGCCCCCCCCAGCCATCAAACATCAGCTCTGCGTCACGCCAGCCTTGCTTTGGGGAAGCCAGAGAGAAGAATTAATTTGAGATGAATATTGTCAGTGCTGAAGCTGAACTGAGTGCTCTCACTGCAGAAGTGATGCTGGGAGGCTTGTGGCTCACAAGCCAACCTGGCAGGGAACTAATGGTGCTACCAGAAATATCGCTTTGCAGCTCTCAGAGGTGGGAGTGAAGGGCTCGCAGGGAGGCTCTGCAAATCACACCACACAAATGTTGTGTGCACAACGTCAGACTGCTTGGACACAGCCCCACATCCCTTAGAACAAAGGCTGAGAGCAGTTCCTCTATCATTAGCATATGCTGGCTCTTCCAGGCAGAAATGAAAGCGTGCACCAGGAGCTGGGAAATGTACAGCATTCCAGGCTTGCACAGGGACCAGCTTCAGCTGCAGGCTGACACCAGTTGTGCACCAAACACTGCTGGCATCTTGGCTGTGGCAGTTTTGAGGGGCTATAAGGCAGGGCCACACTATGAACTGATGAAGAAGGGAGAAATGACCCGGTTTGGTTCATTTGCCTCTACCCTCTGTTGAAAGACCTTGCAGGCTGATTCCCTCCCTGCATAGCCAGGGAGGCTCAGTTGGGTTTTTCACCTCTTTGATGTCCTCAGGTAAATCTGAAAGTTGCTGATGTTGGCCCTTGACAAAGTGCAGGGACTGGGCTCCTCAGGGTGGGAAACAAAGGAGTAAAAGGTAGAGAGGGGTCTCCGGAGGGAGCCCATGGCTCTCACAACCCCATTCAGCCCTGTTGGAGGACCAGAAAATGGCAAGGCACTGGGAGGGAGCATCAGCCTTCAGGGAATTCACCTATTCCAGCCTACAAAGGTACAGCTGCCTGGCTGTCTTGGCTGTGCTTTCTCAGGGCATGAGGACAGAGCATGCACACAGCAATGCTGCGCTGCTGGAATGGATCAGCTCTGCCTCCCCAGCTCCGCCTCATGGGAGCTGATTCCTTACCCCATGTTGTGTCCCCTGATCTGGGGAATGTGGCTATGAGCAGCTGGGCGTGAGAGAATCCTCCAGCACTTCTCTCACTGCCCCAGATCCAGCCGGCCCTGAGGAGCAGTAAAAGAAAGTTCCAGAGAAGGCTGGCAGCATAGGGATGGGGGCATGCCAAGCCCCAGCACTTCAGCCACATGCATCCTGGTGCATCCAACACGCCACCCCCTCAATACCTCCCTTGCCACGGAGAAATCTAGCTCCAGTTTCTCGTGTGAACTCAGCTCAGGCCATTAAATCTTGCTGGGCCTTTCTCTGGGAGATGAAAAGCTCTCTAATACCTGATCATCTCTCACCCATGAAGCTGCTTAAGCGCTGTAATCGAGGCTTCTCTAGGGCTCCTTTGAACTGGCAAAGGAAGCTGCGGTTCTCAGGCATCCCCCTGCAAAGCAGGGGTCACTTTTAACTCTTATCCACCTTCTTCCTAATTTTGCAGCATCCCTTCTGAAATGCAGATGCTGGAACCCCTTCTCCTGCAGCGCCCAGCCCCATCCTGGCAAGGACATCCCCTGCTGCTGCCATGCTGTCCCTCCTGCCTTCCAAACTCACCCCCAAGTCCCTCCTTGCCAAGCATGGGTTTCCAGCGGAAGGGCCTTGTGCTCAGCAGAGGGATCCTTTCACAGCTGCTCACATTCAACCACGTTTTATTTGCCCAGAACTCAGCCTATGAAGCTTTCTACAGCTGTCTTGACCTTGTCCGTGTCTCCTGCCCCTCTCATTTCCCTGGCCCCAGCATTTTTCTCAGCAGGGCCTTTTAATCTATTTCTAGACCATTGATGGAAACGCTGAATAGCATTGGGCTTCCCATCCAAGCCCCGGACACCCACTGAGAGCACTCCCATTCTGCAGGGATTCCCCATTGATGGCTGTCGGTTTGCCAGCTCCCAGTCCCTTTAAGGTGTCTCTCTTGATGTTGTATTGTGCTAATTTTTAATCAGAATACTCTATGGATTAAGTCACATGCCTGAACAGAGTCCAGGTCTATTATTTCTATGCCATAACCTTTATCAGCCAAACTTGTAATCTCTTCAAAGGATGACATCACAGTTTGACAAGAGCTATTTTCCAGAAACTAGGCTGATTGCATTAATTATATTCCCATCCTTTAATTCTTTACCAGCTGAATCCCACATCAGCTTTTCTATTATTATGCCCAAGATCAGTATTGCACTGCTATGTGTAAATCAGCTCCAAGCATCCTTCACATGAGAGTGCTCAAGGAGCTGCACCATCCTGCTGGGCTCAGCGCCGGGGCAGGAAGGGGAGTGCTGCTGCCCAGGATGGAATTCTGTGTATTTCAGAAAGCTGGAAAAAAGCATTGTACGCTTCCAAAAGTGTTCCCTAAATGCATGTGAATAGGCACATGCAGTAAAATAATTGCATCAAAACCTAGAAACCATCCTGTCAGGTCAGAAATCTTGCTGAGTGAATTCTGGTTTTTAGAGGACTTGCTTGCATGTTCAGCTTTTGGGATATACCTAGGAGACTGCTTGGCTCAGTCCCAGGGCGCTCTGTGTGTACCCTCGCTTTCCAGGGAAGAGACAGGCTTTGCATTTCCCCATCACACCACTCTTGTTCAACCTCTGCACCTGGTAATCCACACCTTCTTCCTTCAGTGTCCCCATCACCCCAGGACAGCATTGCCGTTTCAGTGCTGAGGTACCCTGTCTGGGCAGAAGCTCCCCATGACCTACCATGTCCCTGTAAGAAGCGCTCCCCGCCACCTTCCTCTGGAGTCTCCATGTTGTTGGACCCATTTCAATCCATACAGTGCCACCTCTTGGCGAGTCCCCTTACTTCTCCCCGCTGCAGCATTGCCCTGCTCAGAGCACCAGGACACACACGTTGGTTTCTAACCCAGCTCTCGTTGTTGGCAGAGGCAAGAGCCGCTGATGGCCCAGCCACCGTGCTCCTCCAACACTGGGCTCACTGATGCGCGGTCGCTCCTGGGCAGAGCTCAGACATGCCGCTCGATCCGGGACGGAGCAGTGGAGGCTGGTGATGGTTTTCAGAGCTGCTACCTTTACCCACCAACCCGAGCCGGATCCTCCAGGCCTTGGAGGTCTCCAGAGCGCGACCTCCCCCTGGGCCGACCCTGCCCAGAATGCTAGGGGGAGCTCTGCGGGCTCCGCCTGGCCAGAGCGAGGAAGCCCTGGGGACCCTGGAGCCGCTTAGCCGTTAAGCGAGGCCTGCCCTCTATGGGGCTCAACTGGGGCCACCTGCGCCGTGCCCGCACCCTTGGCCATGCGCTCGGGGCTCGAGGCCTTCTCGGGCGGGCATCTCCGTGCTCCTCCCTCTGGCCCAGCAGCGAGTGCGGGGTGCCACAGCCTCAGCCCCGCTGCCCACGCGCCCGCCACCGCCTCCTCGCGGGTGCTTCAGCTCCGCCTCTCCCGGGCCGGGCCCGGCCCTCTCCGCCCCCGCGGCCGGCTGTCGGCGCGGGCTGCCGGTCCCGCAGTACCGGCCGGGGGCGCGGGGGGCGCGGCTGAGCCGCTCTCCCCGGCGCTGGGAGGCAGCGGCGCAGGCGGAGCGGAGCGGTGCGGGGCTCGCTGCTGCTCTCTCGCTGTCGCCGCCACAAGCCAGCGGCCGCGGCCATGGGCGTCCCGGGCCGCCCGCTTTGTGCCGCCGCAGCCCCGCCGCCGCCCGCTGTCCCGGGCCGCCGCTGTTGAGCCGCATGGGCCGGGCCCAGCGCCGCCGCCGCCGTTGCTCCGTGCGGGTGAGTGAGTGAGCGGTGAGGCGGCCCCGAGCCCAGGCCCTGCGCCGAGGCCGCGCCGGAGGCCGCCGCCAGGCGGGAGGCGCGGGGCCGCGCCGGGCGCCGCCGAGCCGGCGCTAGGCCGCCCTGGGCGCGGGGGGGACGGGCGCCTGCCGGCGGCCACGGGCCGGGGCACGCCGCGGAGGGTGAGCGGGTCCGGGGCAGCGGTGGCGGCGGGGCCCGCTTGCGACGCCTCCCCCGAAGTTGCCCAGGGGGCGGCGGGGGACCCCGCGCCTCGTCCTGTCAGCGCCGGGGCTGCCCGCGGAGCCGTGCCCCGGCCCGGTGCGTCCCGCGGGGCGGCTTGGGGCTGCGGGGGCCCGGCCTCCGCTGGCAGGGGCCGTGATGCGGGTCCCCCCGAGGGCAGAGAGCAGCCGGGGGCCCCCCGCTCCACCTCGCCGGCTCCGGTCGGCGCTCGGCCGCTCTCGGCGGGCACCCCGCGGGGCTCCCCCCCGGGCCGGGGCGAGGAGCGAGCGCCGCCTCCCCGCAACAATGCCGGGCATGGCTGTGGGGCGGCTGCCCCGGGGGCTTTCCAGCGCCCAGGCAAGGATGGCTGGGGACTTTCACCAGTGAGGTGATGCTAGACCAGTGCTCGCATCCGTAACCGGGATGAAAACGACCGAAAACCGCAGCACGGTGCGAAAAGGGCCCCGTTCTGCGGTGCCAGGGCAGTGGCTGCGTGCTCGGGGTGGCTCTTACCGTGTGTGAGGGCAGCCTGGCTCAAGCGATGCTCAGCACAAGTCAGCACTGGGGGCCTGGCTGTGCTCCTTAGCCGCTCCTGGTCTTGCTGGGGTTATTTTGCAGTGTGCAGGTGTAAGAGCAGGCACCGCATAGGTGGTGATTCTTGGTTCAGCCGGGGATAGGGAACGAGGGGAAAATGGCAGAGCATCCCAAAGACGCGTTTGTTGGGGTGAGGTGAGCTTTGAGAGGAAGGCCGAGCTAAAATGTGTCTTTTCCTAGTATGTTTTCATGTGCGGTTGAGTTAATTCAGTGCAAGGATTGCACAGGCAGCTGGTGATCTGCAGTGCTCAGGGCTTCCAGGTTGATGCTGTTCTGTAAAACAAGACTTTTGCTGCTGCCTTTAAATGCTGAACTTACCATGTCAAGCAGCAACACAAGAATTGCCCTTCTCTGCCTTCCCCACACCTTCCATTCTCCATATTGACTCATTGCTCTTCTTTAAAAACGCTGTACTTGATCGGATTTCCTTCATGAGGTGGTCTTCTCATCTTCCTTTGATGACCTGAAATTTTCCCAGGCTTGCAGCATGCAGTGTTGTTAGCATAAACGAACCTTTTCTCAATGGCCTGCCTTTGAGAAAACCAGTGCCAGAGCTGAGTTCCTGTGCTAACATGCCCATCTGAAGCAAGAAAGCAGTCCAGATGCCCAAAATATTGGGGTCAGCGATGCATCTGGATTCCCCTAGAACTAGCCGAGGCAATGCAGCGTACTCTGAAACGCAGAGATTTGTGAGGAATGTGGCGCCGGTATGTCACTTGAGCATACGAAAGCCACCTGTGTTTGATTAAGGTGCAGTCTTGCTTTCAGGACTAACTGCATGGTCTTTGAAAGTATTTTTCACAAGCCTTAAAATCCTGTTTGGGGATGAGAAACCTAACCAGATAAAAACATGCTGCCTTATGGTGACCTCGTACATGTGCTGTCCAGGCAGGCTGTGCAGGGAAGTTAATGGTGGTGCAGGAGATGGTATTTGTCCTGTGGCACTGCCTCGTACCTGGATCCTGTAAAACCATTGGTGTGGGGAAATTGGCTGCTGTTTTAGTGTAGCACCAGCTGTATCAATGATGCCAAATGCTGAATGTAAAGTTTTGGGTTATTCTGTGACTGTTATCTTTAGAGTGTGCCTGGTTTGAGCCTGGGTCTGCCTGGAGTCACCAAGGGCCTTTCCATTGATTCTGTTGAAAAAGAGGTGTTAATGCAGTAGTACAAAGCAAAATTAGTGGTTTGTAATCTTAGGGTGTATATTTACAGTGATACTCACTTATTTTTTTTCTCATCTCTTTCAGCAGTACAAGTTTGTTCCCCTCGGAGCTACAAATACTGTTGATTTGAGATTTGAGCTCATCCCGCACTGTTCCTGCACAAGCAAGGACCAGAAAAATGAATATCCAGGGGAAAGGCTTTCCCTTGGACCTCGGAGGAAGCTTCACTGAAGATGCTCCAAGGCCACCGGTTCCTGGTGAGGAGGGGGAACTTGTGTCCACTGATCCAAGGCCAGTTAGCCATGGTTTCTACTCCAGTAAAGGTGATGTGGTTAGAAATGAGACGTCCACGGCAACACCAAGGCGCTCCGATTTGGATTTGGGGTATGAGCCCGAGGGGAGTGCTTCACCAACTCCACCCTACCTGAAGTGGGCCGAGTCACTGCATTCCTTGCTGGATGATCAAGACGGTATCAATCTCTTCAGGACTTTCCTGAAACAGGAGGACTGCGCGGATCTGCTGGACTTCTGGTTTGCCTGCAGCGGCTTCAGGAAGCTGGAGCCATGCGCGTCTAATGAGGAAAAAAGACTCAAGCTGGCAAAAGCCATTTACAAAAAATACATCCTCGACAACAACGGCATTGTGTCCCGGCAGATCAAACCAGCCACAAAAAGCTTCATCAAAGACTGCGTTGTCAAATTGCAGATTGACCCTGACATGTTTGACCAGGCCCAAACGGAGATTCAGTGCATGATAGAAGACAATACCTACCCTTTGTTCCTTAAGTCTGATATTTATTTGGAATACACAAGGACAGGTGGGGAAAGTCCAAAAATTTACAGCGATCCGAGCTCAGGGTCTGGGACAGGTAAAGGGCTACCCGGTTATCTGCCAACTCTGAACGAGGATGAGGAGTGGAAGTGTGACCAAGAGGCCGAGACAGAGGCCAGCAGGGACTCAGTGCCTTCCAGCAGGCTCACGCAAAAGCTGCTCCTGGAGACGGCCACGCAGCGCGCCACCTCGGCCCGGCGCTACAGCGAGGGGAGGGAGTTCAGGTAGGTGAGCGCCGGGACAGCGTCCCTTCTGCAGGTGCCTCCAGGCATCTTGGAACCACTGTAGGCACCTGGGTGATGGGAGCTTTGGAGGACTTTGTGTGATGGGGAGCATCTGTATTGGTACAGGATGGCATTTTGCGGATGCTTTGATGGAATGCAAAGCTTTGATTGAAAGTAGTCTTTGGCTGTTCCTGTCTGATTTCCCCAAATCATCCTTGTAGCACATTCCTTATCTGGAAAAACTGCTACTGGATGTGGGGTGGAGGCCGGTAGGCTTGGTGGGCAGGGCAGAGCTATGGGCAGTCCTTGTGCCTGCACAGGCAGTTGAGCAAGCCACAGTTTTAGGTTGGCTATAGCCCACACCAGCAGAAGGCCAGTGTTCAGTTACTGTAATGAAGGCAAGTAAGCTGGCGGTAGAACTTCTCTGTGTAAATGCACCAGGAAATTATTATGAGCCACCACTCAAAGCTGCAGAAAGCTTGCAGCAGATACCCTCCCCTCGGTAATGTTTATATGAGTGAAATGGGGTTCACAGTGCACCCTGACAATGGGAGATGGCTTTGCACAGGAGATTCCTGGCACTGAACTGTAGCAGTGTCAAAGTCAGAATCACCAGATCCAGTTAAAACCATTCCCTCCTGCAGTTTTTCCCTTCATCAAAGTAATTGCTGGTTTTTTTTTAACTGGAGGAGTTGCACAGTTTTGAAGCTTGTTTTTTTTTTTTTTTCTGGGTCCCCCACCCACTCCAGCCAACATGGATTTTGCAACTTGCTGAGAGCTCAGTTAAAATTCCAGACAATTAACTTAGCAGGGAGCTCTCTGGGATCAATAAGTGTGTGTGTGTCTAACCCTTGCTGAATCAACAGAACCCCGCCAGAACACATTCCTACTTCTTTTTTTTTTTTTTTTTTAATAAAATCTCCTTGTTTTAAGACCTGCTTAGGCTAAAATCTGACGCTTTGTGAAGATTACGAAATGAAGTAGCTGAACTGTCCTCTTCAAAGCCGCCTGCTTTATGAAAAGCATTTCTGTGTTTAATCTCCCTCGGCCGTCCCTTTAGGCTGGCAGCTGGAAACACATCCCGCCCCACACAAGGTCTCGGCGCCTTTCAGCTGGCGAAATGTTTTTGGTTTGATTCTTTTTCCTTACAGATTTTGAGGAGGGGATGTTGCATGTGAAGATCTTGTCGGGGGGAAGGGGGAATTCATGCGGACTCTTGCTGTTTTAATCAGGAGTCAGGAAAAAAATATCCCAGTGTCTTGGGACTTTCCCGTGGAGTTAATAAAAACCTTGAATGTTTCTTGAAGTGTGTTTTCACTGGGCACTTGGGTACTCACCATAAGTGAAGAATTAGAAAAATCTATCTTTTAGGTACCTTTATTTAAGGGATAATGGCTTTAAGATTGAAAATAACTCATTTGAGGTTCAGCTGTGTTGTTTCCTTACTAGACCAGGTAGCAAAAACCTGCATGCAGTGCGTGCAGCGCTGCGCTTCTCAGCTGCAGCTTCAGACAAAAATGCACTTTACCCATTATCTGAATGCATCAGTGCCAGATTTTAAAATGATTTAAGAAATGTGCTGTGGAGTAGAAGCGTTTTGGAGTAAAGTTCCACAGTCTTGAGCATTTTCATACCAGATTGCAACAACATGAAACAAATCTTTACCTGGAGGATGGAGGTCATTAAAAATGCATAGCTATTAATTTGTAGTGTCCAACAGCCTGTCATTGTGGCTACTGACACTCCATTGACCTGTGGGGTAGGGAGGCACAGAAGTGTTTGCCATTCTCACCAGAACAGGAGTCAGCCTTCAGAGCATTGCCATGGAAGATGCTGCTGAACTGCATCTGCTGAGATACTAATTTATGAGGTGATTGTTCCTCTTTGTGCAAGATTTTGTGGTTGAATTAACTTACTTCCCGGACATTGTATAGCAATAGCTGTCTTGAATAAGCTGGTTTTTTAAGCTGTAGCATCTTTATCCTGCAGACATTTTTGTTCATTTACTTCCTCACCTGTGGAACTGTGCTGGAAGCTGGTGGATCTGCTTGCAGCAAGAGGCCATAGCTGCGTGCAGCACTTGAAAGGCTGGGTCCCAATTTAGTTTGAAAGTCTCCACAAATCTTTTCTTTTTTGCATATGTGTGGAAGAATTTCTCATTTCTGTTCTTGAGGGAATGTTGAAATAAGCTGTTTTACATTATATCTGAGGGCCTGTGTAATCTTCCCAAGATTGAACTTCTATTCCTTGGCTTCCATGGAAACACTAAATAAAGAGGAATCAGAGCAAATGCAACAGAAGTATTTGTCTGGTAGCAAATGAGCATCTTGAATCAGCTCCAAATTTTTTTGCATCAGAAAGTTCATGAATCTTGATGTGGTAGCTCTGCTTTCGGGGGAGCAAACATGAAAATTCCTCAAACAGCAGAAGACAACTCATTATTAGCACTGATATTTGAAGGTGTGCAAGTGCACATGTGTGTTTGAGAATATCCTGGAATCACAAGCATTGCCATTACCCACTGTGGTTTTGTATGCTTAGGAAAAGGCCAATAGTCATTATAGTGAGGCTCCTGCAAATTAATTGGACGTTGGTTATGGATCAGTAAACTTCAAAGGGGGTAACCCCGAAGATCTTGGGCATTAACTCGCAGTTTCCGAAAGTGACACTAACGTGGTTGTGAGAGAGGCTAAATCGTTCATTAACCTTCTTCTGACGCACCAGGATGGCATTCCTCAGATCCCAAGAGCAGGAATTAAACTTGTGCGTGAGAATCACCTTGCAGCCTGGTTTTCAAGTGCTCCAGGAAAACACACGTATCTTAAAAAGTTGGAAATTTGGTGTTGGTGGTGAAAGGTCTTAAAGTCATGTCTTTAGTCAGAGTGGGTTTCTTCTGCAGTCTCTTTAGCTCTGAGCTGAAACAGGCTCTTCTCCAGCTCCCAAAGCATTGGAGAGTAGTGCTCACAGCTGTTGCCTTTGCTTTCTTCCCTGGTGAGATATGAGAAAAGCATATGATGTTACCTGCGAGCAGCTGTGTCTTCATCTCTTCTGAAAGCCAATTTAACTGGGAGATTTGGGTTAGTTTTGAGGTTTGACCAGTGTCATGAAGCACACAACATGCTGAAAAGAAAACCTGAATGATGGGAGGACATGCAGTCGTGGGTGAAGTCTCCAACTGTTGTGTATTGATGAGTGTTGCGATGGAGCTAAGCATGGATGGAGAAATTTCTCAGCTGGGGCTTTGATATACACATGGTTTGTTTTTTGTTGGTTTTTTTTAGAAGGGAGCTGACTACATGATTCAGGCTTGAATTTCCACAGTGCTGAGCTGACTAAGCTCATGGCATTTCACAAGTGTTGGTGGTTCCAGCAAAAAGATGGGCAGTGTGATTCTCCACCAGAGCCGGCAGAAATCATCAGGAGGGTCCTTGTGCTTGTGCCCACCTATTGGCAACCTCTCTGGACATGTGTGAGGGCAGCTCTCCCCACAACATACAACCAGCAATCCTTCATAACAGGGAAAAGCAAGGGAGGAAAAGCTGAAGGAGCTTTGGAGGGACGTGACAACCCCTGGTCTGAGGCGATGCAATGATGAACTGTGACATGGAGAGGAACGGTGTAGGCTAGTTCAGGGAAGATGTAGGATCTCTCTGCTGCTTAGGCAGCATAAATGGTCCAGCGGTCAAAAGCTGGGCCTGCGTCAGGAAGGTGAAATTTAACTGGCAGACGTAATTGCAAGGTTTGGTGCTTTGCTTGTAATTAAATATTAAATTGCACACTTCTGACTCAAGACTGTGTGGTGAAGGAAGAGGTGTTAATTGTACCGAACGGGTGGAAGACTGGGGATGCAAAATCAAAAGCGCTGGTGCAGGAGAAGTCTGTGCTTAGAAAGTTTAGACATATGTTACTGTCTTACTGATGCTTCGTTTAACTGGAGAGACAGCATGTGCATCTTGGAGTTAGGCTGCTGGAGCTTCATGAGAGCTTGTTTGCTGGAAAAAAGCAGCTACTGAATATTATACCCATATGTAATGGTGGAAAGAAAGTTAACTTGAATTAAAATTGCTGAACCCATAACATTACTTGCAATTGTTACATGACTTGAGGTCTGTACAGAGCAGCAGCTATTTCCAATTTTAAAGAAAATAAGTTATGGAAGAATAGGTTTGGTTCTACATTGTTCTTGAGAGAAGTTAATCTAATGGGGAGCTGGGGTCTGATGCTAACAGCACTATGTGGTAATTTAGTGACCAGAGTACTGTAAGATATACAAGGCAAAGACTGATGGTGTTTTTGCACAGAAGTTACGCCAGCTTTTTTCAATACATTGTTAAGCTGATGAAACTTCTGCATGGAAATGCTTATATTAACAGTGTAAAGTATTTATACCACTGGTTGCCAAGTTTTAAAATGGATTTTATTTGAAGAACAGCTTTTGTGCCCATAGCTTTGCCTCTACACAGATCAAGGTGAAATGGTGCTCTGTTTGTTGTTTGGTTATGGATCAATGCTTTGGCTTCCTTTTAAAGACAGGTAGTTAAGCTTTTGAGCACTCTTGTTTGATAAATGAATAGCGTTTTCTCCCCTCCTCCAGCAAACAGCTACCTTATTGTGTTGTGATTGGGTTCTATTTGGGTTACAGAATCTTTTCTCTTAAAAGCATGAAAGAGGGGGTTGTATCTCCTGCTTTTTGGTGCTGAGGAGATTCTGGGTGGACACACCAGGAAACAAATCTTCCTGAGGGGCACAATGTAGTCCAGGAACCAAGTCACCATCTTTGGAGGGCTTCATGGCTGGTTTGGCTATAGTCCTATTTTGATAGGATACAAAGATAGCACAAATAATGAAGTGCTATATTTTGAGGACCAGGTTGGAAGTTGGAATGGTTTGGGTTCTAAACAGATCCCAGGATACTGAGAAGTGCACCCAGGAGGTCGGCCACAGGGTGGGTACACCTTGGTTTTGATCTGCCATTTAACTTGGCTTTATGTTTTAAGGCT